AGTGCTCATTTTGCCATTTTAAATGTTCAGCAACCTTTTCAAAATGAAGAAAATACTTATCAACTTCTTTTTCTTGGAAAGGTGGAACAAGCCTAATATTTTTAGTGACATCAAATTTTGAATTTATTCTATGTTCAAACTGATTTGCTCTCTCTTTGATTTCTAATTCTCTCATTCTTAGCTGAAATTCTCTCTCTTCTCTTTCTTTTTCTAATTTTCTCTCTTCCCTTTCTTTTTCAAACTGCCTTTCCCTTTCTTTTTCTTCCCTTTCTTTTTCTAACAGTAACTGCCTTTCTTCCCTTTCTTTTTTTTAACAGTAACTGCCTTTCTTCCCTTTCTTTGTCTAACTGCATTTTCTCTAATTCAAATTTAAATTGAAGTTCAAGCTCTCTTATCTTTATTTCAGAAATTTCAGAGTGTTTTTCAACAATGTGAGAAAGTGCATCTTCTCCAAAAATATCTTCATCCACAAAATAATGAATCAGAAGATTTTTAATTTCTTGTTTACGCATTGAAGATTTAATTTCTAATAAATTATACTTTTTTGCAAGATCGAGCAAATCAGTTTTCTAAGCCAAATCTAATACCTCCTGGGAAGGTTCAGCTACAAACTTCTCTAAATTAAAAGACATGACTGCTTGCTGCTGGTTTTAAACTCAGGAAGTGATGTGTTTCAAAAATATCAAAATGAAAGGTACACTTAATAGAACAACTATGATATCAACTCAGATGAGTAAATACGGTAATAATAAAATGTAAAATAAACGGTAATAATTTCAAATAATGTAGCCAAAAAGAAATATTCAAATCCCGGACGAGCCCCCAATTTCTGTTACGAGCCAGGCGTAACTAGAAAGAAAAGCCAGCAACAAACTTGTAACAATATAACAAATTTATTACAGAAAAAAATATTAAAGAAAAATAAAATAACAAATAACTTTTACAAATACCTGAAGTCCAAAATAAAAGTGAAAAATCTTAAATGTCTAGTCTGATCCTGGAATGATCCTTTTTGAATAACACAGTTAAATCCAAGTTAAATCCAAGAACACTTTAGAATAAATTCCCACAATAAAAATCCACAAGAATAATTTATTTTAAAATCCAAGCTCCAATAATTCACTTAATATCCAATTTGAATAATACTCCAAATATATTGATGACTTAAAAAGTAACTGATGACTTAAAACATCACTGATGACTTAAAAGGTAAAGGTAATGAAACATGTCAATTTATATATATTAACTAAGAAAATTCCAGAAAGGTCTTTTATGTTCTCAAGTAATCATAATCTAGCAACTTCAACAATAAAGAACATTCCAGAAGTTTCTATCTAAATATAATGCATGAGTTTTCTACAACAGTTAAGAAAGTTCTAGTACATACATGTAGTTAATGTTCTAAAAAAAGAACAATGATAATATTGGAAATACCAACTGGTCATATATAAATTATATACATGTAATAAGTTGCATACATAACAATATATACATGCGTTTGCTAACTACAAAATGTAGATCTATTTTTTTTTATTATTTTTAACATTTCATTTTAAGTGACATTATGCTCATATTTTCATTATCAAGTTGTGCTGAATTGACTACATATTTCAAAAGATTGACTGTTAAAATTGTGATTGACCAACAGATGATAATTTATAAGTGTTAATATACATGTAAGATATAAAAATATAAATCTGCCTACAATATTAAAAGACTGGCCAATTCTTTTCATAAATTGAATATTACAGATAAATGCCCAAAGACATTTACAGTAAATCTTTTGGGCCAGATGGGTTATTTGTCGTTCATGAGGAGTAATTCTTAAGATTGAAAGGAACTATGGCAAAATGTAAACTTATTTTGACTTTCAATGTTCACTCACAATATACCCTGGAATGAGCATAATGTCACTTTATGAAATGATTAATAATATGAATGCACTTTATATTAAATGATTCTTACTGAACAAAATATATGAATCGGTAATATTTTTGTTATTTCAAATGAAATATAAATATTTTTTTTGAAGTGGGCACGTTTACAAGATAGAGAAATATAGTATTTAATTTTTCACGGTAAAAAATTGTTTTGTAAATACATAGTGTAACTCTACTCCACACGAAATTCCCTTTGTCAGGGGACCGAGAAGGAGAGAAATGTTGATTTTATTATACATATAAAATTAGAGATACACAGAATCCCTATAGAACGCCCAAAGCGGCATAATTGAAAATGATGCAGATTCGATTTGATTGAGTTTGTTCCTGAACGATAATGTTATTATCAAGCTGTCGTTCATGCCCAATAGTGTCAGTTTAAGCAGAAATTAAGATGGTTAAACTGTGACATTGTATCTGACCTGTTGGTCAGGTCGGGAATTAATAGATGCATTTCCTTATCCATCTTTGTATGACGACAAAGACATTTTCGTTAGAGAACGTATTTGGTTTACATATATTTTGATTATATTTGTGTAGTGTAGGTTTTGTCTAGGCAGTCACTAACAATGGTTCTTGTAATCATTAACAATAAATCAGAGCAGTTGTTATGCCATCTGGAACTTCCACCGACTTTAAACCGAGCCATATAAGCCGTGTACAAATAATCTGGAGGCGAATGTCCTGTCGTTGTCATCTCCTTTCATAAAGAACAAACAAGCATTTGTAATCTTATATAAAGAACAAATGAGGCACCTTAACTGCGGCGTCGATCAAAAATTTGGAGAAGTGTCCGCTATTTGTTATTTGTCCGCTTCAAACTTCATAACAGCATTGCGATGGAAATCGTTCACATTTAAAACCAGTCACTTTCTGTTTCGTGTTGAAGCGTTAACTTTGTATTTTAATCCTAATGTCGTTTTTAAATACTTACAAAACAATTACAATAATGTACATATATACCGAATAATTTTCGTTGTACTACATATCATTCTTGTTCAAATTATTGTATCATGTATTTTCAAATTGAGAATGTTATATTTTGTTTAAAAATGACAGTTATTTGTTTATCAAATCAAAATTAAAACGAAGTGATATGTTCATGACACGCTTTCCTTTTCATAATCAGATATCAAGACTTTCGGTGCATTTTATTTTATATATCAATAAAAATTATATTAAATGATTTTGAAAGGTCCATGGTCTTCTTTAACTTAAAAATGTTCCAATAGAAGTACCAATTTTTAATTGATCGAAATGAAAATGAAATGTTGAATATATGTTGTATTCTTTGAACTAATGCAATGGCATTATGTTTATTTAATCACTTCAGTTTAGCTTTGACAATAGCTCGATTAACGCTATCTATTCGTGTATACTTAAGCTAAAATGGTCTTGAAAAAGTCTCCTTTCACTGACCAAATACGGTCCTAGAACCGCTGTATTCTTGATATACAGGCGAACGACATATTTAATGAAATATGTCGTATGTATTGGGACAATGATGGATATCCCATCTCCTTACAAAAGAGCAAAAGTTTGCTCCGGTAAGAATCTCCAAATTTGTTGAAACAGTTCCCTTAATACAACAATCGATCTTTCGCAAATATCATCACCGGCGATGAGACGTTAGTTCATTTTTATGAGCTCCCAAGCAAAAGATACTTAACGCCAATCAAAGGAAAAGCGCGGTTTCGTGAAAGAGCTGATCCGGTTTTTAACATTGATGAGTAAACCAATCTCTCAAGCACTCTCGAATCGAACGAATTGCACCTCTTGTACTGTTACAGAAAACAACAAAGGCAAACACGTTTAATATAAAGAAGATTATAGCCCTTATAAGAATCGTTCCACCAATATCGAATATTCTACCTCAAATTGTTGCCAATGTAAGTGCGGTTCGTTGATATTTCTTTTGCATTACACTTTCATTTCGTCTTTCGCGAAAGGGTGTTTTAATAAAAACTTTTCGTGTTCTCTTCGATTATGGTAAAAAGTAAGATTAAAAAAAACAACAACAGTGTTTGCTTGAATCCAGCGAAGTCTTTATACTTACATGAATTTTTCTTTTTTTGAGAATTATGACAAAGATCAGTATTATTTTTTAAAATAAACCGTCTGAACTGCAAAAAGTAAAAGATTTTCAGTATCAATTGTTTTTCAATTTCTTTATGGTGAAAAATAATTTGTTTGGATTGTCTTTTATACTCGTATGTTCTACTGATCAATTCTTGTCAGGGCATCGTTATCGTTTTTTTTTTTTTTTTTTGGTTTCATTAAGGCCTTTTTAAAATATGTTTTTTCTCTTTATTATCTTTTTCGTATTTTATTTATATTGTATATTTCATATTCTAATATACAATGCTTTTACGTATAATGTATCGTTTCACTACGTTATATATATCAGAGTATAGTAAAACCTGTCACATTGTTGATGCATTGCAATTTGAATTCAAAGCAAATTTAACATCTTTGTTCATGATTAAGGACAACAGTACAGCATAACTTGCCGATGACAGTATATAAGAGAAGTTATTTTTTTTGTAAAAATAACATTTTCTTTTGGTGTAAAATTGTTTATCAAGATAACTACAAAACAATCAAAATATCTGAAGGAAGCGGATAATAAAGCGTTCTGTTCAAACTGAATGGCTTGCTTACTTGAAAAAAGTTAAATTGTTCGCTACATTTTAGCAACACCTTTCGTATTATTTATTTATTACCTTATTTAATTCAAGAATAATGAACGACCAAACTGCAGCCAATATCAACATTTTATTTACATAACAGTCACATATACAAAACATGAACACATCAAAATTTCAGTCTAACTTATATTTATGAACTTCATATTATGGATCTGAATTTATTAAAATACATTAAATGTTTTAATAACATTCATGAACAGTAATATTATGTTTCTAAAATCATATGATCGATTCCTGAAGGGGTTGCATCTCAAGAAAGTCTTTGTAGTTTAACACAATGTTTAATGTAAATAATAACAAATAACTTGCTGCTATTTCAATGTCACTAATTTACTTGTAGAGTACACCAGGTTTACAACAATTTCACAAGATGTATCGCACAGAAAACACTAACTGCAATCAACCATCCCATCTTAAAATCTGAAAAAATAAACATATGATTTTAAGTGACAAGAGTGACCTTAACCAAATCAATGTATAACCACCCTTATCACAGCATAACTACCCTAATCACAGCATAACTAGCCTAATCATAGCATAACAACCCTAATCACAGAATAACTACCCTAATCACAGCATAACTACCCTAATCACAGCATAACTAGCCTAATCATAGCATAACTACCCTAATCACAGAATAACTACCCTAATCACAGCATAACTACCCTAATCACAGCATAACTAGCCTAATCATAGCATAACTAGCCTAATCACAGCATAACTAGCCTAATCACAGCATAATCACCCTAATCACACCATAATAACCAGTCTAATCACAGCATATTCAGCCTAATCACAGCATATTCAGCCTAATCACAGCATATCCACTATAATCACAGCATAACGACCCTAATCACAGCATAACTAGCCTAATAACACTATAATCACCCTAATCACACCATAATAACCAGTCTAATCACAGCATATTCAGCCTAATCACAGGATATTCAGCCTAATCACAGAATATCCACTATAATCACAGCATAATCATCCTTATTGCATCATAACCATCCTAATCATAGCATAACCATCCTTATCACGGCATAATCACTCTTATAATACCACAACCAACCTAGTAACAGCATAACCATCCTTATAACCACCCTAATCACAACATAACCACCCTAATCAGAGCATAAAAATAACAGGTTAAGTAATAGAATTTAAAATAAGTGTACTATTGCTGCAAAGTATATCATTATATTTATAAGGGCTTGTATGAAATTTAGTTAGACAAATAAATGATGACGTTACCTGGAGCTGCTGAACAGAGCTGCATCAAAGTCGGGTCGCAACCAGCCCAGAGTTCGGTTTCGTCACTTCTGTCATCGCAGTCAGGAACGCAGTCGCACTTGAACGCTTCGTCTATACATGTGACTGAACCTGAGGCACACGATAGCCAGCCGACGGGACAAACCTAGAATATACTAACTTTTGAAGTTTTGTCGCCATTTTACATCTGCTGACATCGTCATAATAGATCAACGTTAAATTGAAGAAAAAGTTTTAATATCTACTATATCCGCTTAACAAAGGCGTAAGACAATATCTAAATAATATACGAATTACTGAAAATGGTGTTTCTCGTGTAATAAACCACACACACTTACGTTAACGTAATTTGCTCCCCGGCTTGACGATCCTGTTCCGTTTGACGACCCGGACGCCGGACATGCAGTCACTGTGCACTGCTCAACTACCATAGCATCTCCAGTGCATACTCTTCCTCCATTACTTGGAGCAGGGTTGTCACAGTTTCTTGTTCTGACCGAATGTCCAGTTCCGCATGTAACACTGCACGGGGCAGCAACTGACCATGCACCCCAGTTTCCATCAACTGGTACTGTTTTCGAGAAAAATATCAAATGTTACACCAAATTACTTCGCTCTACAAAAATCAGACCGAACAATGTTCTTATAGTGAAAGAAACTGTTATATATTTTAAAAACGTTTTTTATCACTAGTTTGTTCTTGTTCGAGGTATGCGTTTTAAAAGTCAAATGGAAACGTGGTGTAAAAGAATGCCTTATTATCAATACATGGACATGCTTAAATGTATATGTCAAACTGTTTAAATTTCTAATTCGTTAATGTACCTGGACATGAACCGGCCCCTGAACAAACATTTTCATCAAAAGAGTCCCCGACACAAGGTTGGCCACCATAATCTGGTGGAGGGTCATCGCAGGCTCGATACCGGCGCTGTCTTCCTGTGCCACACGTAACTGAACAACCCTGCCATGCCTCCCACTGTCCCCACTGTCCGTCCATAGGAGAGCCGATCACTGTAATATAATGTTACTAATAAGATAACGATCGTCATGTAATGTATTCCAATTTGTTTATCTTATGTTTGTGACAAATAAAGTTTAGAAACTGTAACATAACTTATTATGAAAGATAAACAGTATAGAACTATCAGTATACAACTTTATGCAAAATCAAGCAAAAAAAGTCGCCGAAAAACGTCCAAACTTCTCTTAAGAGTGTGTATGGAAGCTCGAGCTACGGCTGACAACACAAATACAAAGCATTTAAATTTAATTCCTGATATAAATTGTTTTCTACACGCATGTGTAAAATAAAAAGAAATATTAGATTATTTAGCCAGATTAAACTTACAGTAGTCACAGTTTCTGGCGGTATATTGGGGGAAACACGTGCATCTATATGCATTTTGTAGATTAGAACACGTTCCATTGATGCACGGGCTACTGAGACATTCGTCAATATCTGCAAACAAATAATGAAATATCGATTGCAAGTCAATAAATATTATTATGATGAAACAATTTTCCAAAAACAGACAACATACAGCTTCTATAATCTACAAAAAGCTTCAAACAGGATAGAAGGTTGGATTAAAATATGAAAATACTAGGTTTCCACACATACATTTACTAATTATATTGTATATTTATGTAATTAGCGATATATTATTACGTATATTTTATAGAAGATATATAACACTAAGTACACATTATGCTCCCAAAACAAAGTTAGCTCGCATTGTAAGTACATTCAACTCCTTACCCTGATCACAGTCATACCCTTGCCAGCCTGGAGTACAATCGCACGTGTACTCATTTAGTAAATTGTTGCACGCGGCACCATTATGACATGGGTTGCTCGCACATTCGTCAATATCTACAGCAAGAAGAACCAGAACAAAATTTCATTTACTTGAAGCGTACAATATTGTATATACTAATGTGGTCTGGGTCGATTATGTTCAACAAAAAAATAATTGCAACTGTTAATTAAATTAATTATTCAATATATTATTTAGTTCCTTTTATTACCAAATAAAAGCAAAATTAAAATAACATTAACAGTTGATATAACCAACCATTGTATCATAATTTGGGGACAATTCTGTTGAAAATGTGTCAGAGTTAAATCGTATACATACATATACATGCACAGTGCGTTTACTGGAGTGCAGGACTATTAAATAACCGCACTCCGGAGCATGCCCATTGATTGAGGTTTACATATTGTAACGGAAAAAAAGGGAAAGCGATACGAAAATCATATTCAGATGCCCTTGATGTTTCAAATGTGACAACAGGGAGCGTATGTTTATGTTTTACTATGATATAAAAGAGAAAGAACATCAAAACACGGGGTCTATGCCCCCCTCGTACAAATCAGATATTCTCGTGTTTCGTTGCTCTTTCTTTAACTTATAGCTATTAAATCACTTCATTTTAAACTTGGCAATGCTTTGTATCAACTAAGAAACAATGAAACACCGATATGCCAAGCATCAAATACAAATACTACTATAAGTAAGTGTTAAATGTACATGTATAAACTGAATCACACCAAGGATACCATGGAATACGAAGACAAACTGACTCAACAGGAATTAATAGCTTAATAATTTACCCGTGTCACAGTTAACACCTTGCCATCCAGGCACACATTCGCACTCGTAGTTGTTTCTGGTTATTTTGC